CACAGGCTCACAGGTTCTTCGAGATGTTTTGAGGAATCAATTCCTGGACGCCACCTGCGACTCAGCAACAGGTCACAGATTGGGTGTCTTGGGGCCCTGCTTGTGGCGTCGATGCGTCCTTTTTTTTAGTTGAACAAAGACCTTCTAGACGAATCTCCAGACCTTTCAGGCGTCATCTCATCCTCATCCTTCGAGAGTTTCACAGATGATGTGTTTTTTGTGAAAAAGGACCAAAAATCTGTATTGGGAAATGTTGGGGAGCTCCCACCAGTTAGAGTTTTTCTTGTTTTGGGAGACTCGAAACGAACAGCGGCCTTCGGGGATCCCTTCACAGTGGGCTGTGATGGCCGAGGTCTGAGAAATAGAGCTTCACACAGCCGCCATACCTGGTCGATACCTGCGTATCATCGAGACAAACCATCGACCTATATAGACACCACATGAGTCAGCGTCAAAAAGAAGTTACAGAAGTCATCTTAGCACAATGGAATTACATGATCAAGGAACCCCCTATTGAATAAGGTCCAACCTTTTTACCAAAAAACTAAACACTCTAAAGGATGTTATGCTTTGATTCAGGTCAGTTGTTCCCCTTTCTTCAGCCCGGACAATTGAGTTGGCTGGTGTTTTTCAGTGGCCCCTATCTTGACTGCCTATCCACCAAGGCGTGGCCAATCTCCTTCACAGCGCTCCAAATCGTGAAAAACATCTCACGCTCAGTGAAGGGACGTGATAGTCTCGCGGAAAAAAAACAACCTTGGACCTTCAAACCCATGTTACAGTATGTTACAGTAAATGCGTTTAAGCATGGACCACCCACCAGTTCCATTGACCAGAAAATCGGCGACTGTCTCGGGTCTTTTTCGTCGTCTGAACCATCACAGCGACCAATATTCGCAAACAGGCGGCAGCGTTAGGACCAGACCAGCGGAAGCGAAGTAGTGGTCCGGGTCGTCTCCCGAACCAGCATAGCGGTGTCCCAGTCTCCGACCGGACTCGGTCCAAAACTGGAGACCGGGCCATGTCGTTCCAACCCCGTTCCGGAAGGCGAGTCCACCTCGGTGTCCACCGGTTAATCCCGAAAAAAACCACCCACGCCGACCAGCGCGCACGCGCCGCCTCGGCGGCTCGGGTCCGGTGGTGGGCCAGGTGGGAGAGCGCCAACAAGCACTGGCGCTGCAAGACGACCTCCCGCGGAGGTCGGAGGTCGGAAAGGAACTGGCCGACAGGAACAAGAAGGCCGAAAGCGTGTGGGGACGGAAGACCAAGGGGAAGAAAGGAAAGGAGAACGGGCAAGGGGAGAGAGAGAGAGAGAGAGTCATAGTTGGGAAAGGTTGTGAGTTTCATGTGTTTGAAGTACAAACAGACTTTCTAGATGTCCAAGGGCACCTGGCCAGGAGTGGTGTTTGGACTGGAGACTTTCTGGCCTCTGCAAGTGCGGAAGAAGTAGTGGGAAGGTTCACATAGATAGATAGATAGATAGATAGATATTCCAGCTTGTCTTTCACAAAAGAATATAGTTTATATAAAGCTGTCTGTCTTACAATCCCACGGGCATACAAAGAATGCCTGTCTTGACAAAATACGATTGTTCCTTCAATAGAACCTTCGGCTGCACAGCAGGGGACCAACCTTTCTGCCGAACGCCTTGGATGCCGAGACAGTGTTGTTCACCGAAAAAGGATCCTGATGGCCCCAAGTGAAGATCCTAGCAACTCGTGAAGATCCTGAAACCTCATTGTCAGTGAACCATGGGCAAGTGAACACTTTTTGATAAACAAATCTCAACAAGCAGATTCGGACAAAGGGCTAACAAAGGCACCAACCCAAAGGCTCCCAAGACCCCTTAATCTCCGTCTCACAACTCGAAAAGACACAAAACGTTTACAGTAAAACAACATGCGAGCACGCATCTTTCGTGAGTAACAACAAGGAAAATAGGAGAAACAATACAAGTCAAAACACCATGGACTCATTGTTGGGGGCGTCCCGCTTCAATTCAATCAAAAGACTTAAAGCAATGACCATGATATCTAATAAGTGCCTCGTCCGGAAAGCGCCGGCCGGCGCCGCAGAGAGCTTCCAGCGCTCCGGCCTTGCAGCGGAGGATGCTGAAAATCATCGCAGAGCGCTGTCCCATGGGCGTTTCTCACTGTTCTTTTTGTGTGTTTCTGTCCGGTGCGCTGCCCAAAAAGCAAGGAAAGGTTCCTGACGTTGAGCTGATTCAGTAGGTATATATATAGGATCAGGTAGGTATATAGGTTTCTTCTTTGGCTTTTTCCACAGAATGTTGTGCCGACGTTGAAAACGGATGAACCTTCAGGGAATCACTCCCTATACCTTGAATTACAAGGGCAGGGGACATGACCGACATCATTCCTGTCATCGGAGTCTAACGTTCAGGTCCGACCGTCCAAGGAGTCAAAAGGATTGGGTTTTCGCTGTGCCGTCTATCCGCCAGTCACAGTGGATGATGATGGTTAGTGGCAAGGCCTGGTTCAAAAATAGGACAGACCCAAGGTATCGCCATCTCCCCCGAGAATACGGTGAATTCGTTTCGTGTAACGGGTTCAGACGTCTGAGTCTCTAGAGCGTCCCAAGGGGACCTTAAAAAGAGCGTCCCAAATGTCTCGGAACTCATCCACTTTGGGCGGCCCACTTTGGATGGCATGTTGCCAGGTCTTCAAACCACTCGACCCCCTTGGTCGTCACCGCCGTTCGCCACAGCTGCCCACCTTCACCGCGCGGTGCCGTTGCTCCGCCACCAGCACATCCTCCTCCTCCCCCGCGGTGAGGCCGGCTAAAACGAAGCAGCCCAGCTGTTGCACCTGCACCAAGCATCACGGAACAGCAGAGGGTCAAGTACTGAAAAGAAGAAACATTTAGCAAGAAGATTTGGGAAGTACCTCATGTTTAACAAGAAGATTTAACAACATGTTCAACCATATATATATATATACCGTGGTAAACCACGGTGAACCACGGTGAACCACCTCATGGGATCTCTTTTTCGCAACCGTTGGTCCGTCCCGAACGACCTGAAAAGGGCAAGGAGCAACGGAGCAGCCCTTCCTGGCAACTTCATCCCAGCCACCCCTCCATGTCTTATTTCACAATGTTTCCTCTAACTTACAGCAACTACTGTAGCAACCCTTGGTTCCTCTAGCAGACCTCATAGTCGCTTCAAGAATACATCTCACCCAACCCACTCTCAGTCCGTTCACCCAACCCACTGCCCAGTGCTTTTCAGCCTGGAGACGAAAGCCTCCCCAACCAAAAGGCTGTTGGACGCTCCGGTGGCGAACCACGCTCCTGGCCCCGCTCCTCACCTGAGGGTCATCCACTTGCTTGGCCATGTCTCCCAGCGCCGCCTCCAAGGCACCCTCCTCAGCGGCGCTCCGCCATAAGCGTTGCACGACCGCGGCCAAGGAGGGCGCTGCGGTCGCTGCGGTCGCATCCTGGGCGCAGGTCAAACCACGTCTCCACGGTGTGTAACGACCGTGGTGCTGTATGAAGTGAAGCGGTGCTTGGTGGATGTGGAAAGTGAGCTTACTGCGCAACACTGGGGTTGAGGCTGAGACAAAGACCAACAGAGGCTTCCCCTAACAGGACCTAAAGGGGTTGCCTTTTGAAAAGCAGAGATCTTTTGGGAGTCAATGAGGCCGGACCCACAGATGGTCGAAGCAGAACACCCCGCCTCCACCACAGAGCCACCAGAGCCCATGGCATCGAGAGCAGACCGCGTAAGGAATGGGGGAGCGCAGACTCGCTGTAATCCGACGCCACATGAGATGTGATCGGACTCTTACACTGCACCAAGGGATTGCAAAAGTTCAAGGCAGAATCAAGCTCAAGGGTTGGTGTCCATTCCACCTAAGTACCTATAGAAGTTAGATGATGTTGGAAATAACAAGGAACATGTGGTTGAAACCTGGTGAAATGCGTGAGGAAAGTTCACCTTGATTCTGTTGTTGTTGTTGTTGTTGTTGTTGTTGTTGTCGTCGTCGAGTAATTACTTTGTTTCAAAACCTTAAAGAAACAACCTTGACTTAAAGAACTACCCAAATGTCTCAGGTTTATCCTGCCCTCGTGACATCCTTCAACCCTTCAGCCCCCCCCAACTGCAAGGGCCGAGCGCGGCGAAGAATTGAACAAGTGCAACTGTGTTCGACTGAAAGGACCATGGTGTGGTTCAAGATGCCCTGCAAGACCTCCCAAGCACGGAAATCAAGAGGCCCTTTCAAGAAAAAAACAACTATATATATACTATATTATAATATATTGTATTGTATTATATTATTTTTTATTATACTATATTATATTGTACTATATTATATTATATTGTATTATAAGATATCTAATATATATACAGTGTATATATATATATATATATTGGTGAGAGGTCGAAGAAAGGTGGGAGGTCGAAGCAGTCCCCCCAATGCGACCAGGTTTGGGATCCAAACGGCAATGGTGCCTACTTTCCGCTTCCTGTGGAGGCTGGGATGAACGTTGAAGTGTTGAAGGGGTAGTCACCCAGTCTGCTTCTGAGGTCCTGGTGGGCCTGAGATGCGGCAACCTCCCTCTGCCCTTGTGCGCTGGTGACACGGTCTTTGGAGAGATCACATCTGAGTCTTCGACCAGAAAAAGATGGAGCTTCGCCAGCAATTGGAAGAGAAACGAATTTGACTCCATGGGCAAACGGCAACCCCCCCCCCGCCCACTTAAAAAACCAGTGCAGGGGGTCATGATGCGTTCGTTGCAGCGTGGACATCCCTGCATCCACCAGCTTCAAAGGTTTAAAGGGCCGCGGGTAGGGCTCCACACCCAGAAATGGCCGGCATCCTTTTTCAGCAGCCCATGTGCTGCGGTGAGGGCTGCACGCCTAGACACTTGGCAACTGCGAGATAACCATCAGAAGGACCTTTCGGGAGGAACTCCCCCGGCGGTTCACAAGGCTAGAAAAACTTGACACGTCATAGAGTTTCTTGGCGATCGCCTCTCACAGGGCCTATTACCTCTATCAGGCAATCTTGTTGTGAGACATGTGGCAGTTTCAAGTTACAGAACTAAACAGTCTCCTGTCCATCCACCTGTTCACCCCCCCAGAGAGATAGAAAAACTCTCTCAAACTCAGACTCTATCTCGACCCACCAACTCAACTCCCACCCACCAACTCCTCGTGTGTTCAAAAAGATCTCCAGCGAGGCTCTTCCGCTCCAAGGAAATCTCCTCGGAGAGGAGGAACTCCAAGGGCAGTTCCAAGCCGTGCCAGTTGTGATCATCCCAGGCCTGCGTGGGGTGCCGGCCGCGCGCGAGAAGGCATGTGTCACGCGAAGTGAATCAATCCACTTATATAATTTAGAATGGTTTCTTGAGCATGTTGGCCCAAATCTATGGGTCGGGCTACCAGTTCTCCGTCTTCCCTGTCCGTCGCAATGGGCAGTGACCGTTCACGGCAAGGGCTGAACCGTCCGAGGCGCCGAAGCCGTCGGGTTGGGTCCCACGCGGGTTGGGTCGCGAGATCTCCGTCTGTCTGATGACATGCGTTGTGGGTGCGTGTCGCCCCCGAGGTCGTCCAAGGAAGAGAAAATTTGTGACCGAACCGGTTTGTAAGGACCAGGTGTTGACCTCAGAGCCCATCCAAGGATATACATATAGATATAGATTGATATAGTGACCCTCATGAAAAGTCAATCCTCTCATATCCTCTCTAAAATTGTGTGGGAAAACAAACGTCTATCTGTTTGGGGACCACCATACTTCTACTTTCAAGCCTCCCCACCCTCCACATCGCCTCCCGTAGACTCACCGCCCGTCGCCAGAAGCGCCCCAGCGACGGCGTCGTCACATCGCCGGCGTCGCGGAGCCGCACGACGGGTTGCTGCAACTGCTGGGCCCAGTCGACGTGCAGAAACTGGGCATTGACGTCCTCCACAGTGCGATCGAATTCCGTGAGCAGTTCCGGCGGGGGGGCTGGACGGATGCGCGTAGGTGTTGTTTTCTGGTTGTTTTTTCAAGTTGGTGTTGCTGACATCAGCCATGTACCATACCAGTGTGTGAATTTATCTTCGATGTGAATCTGATGTGGTTGGTTCAGAGCTCCACCTAAGTACGTACTCCCACAACTTTAGGTCTTTGGAGGATAGACTCTGCTAAAAGAAACACGGACGGCCTGCTCTTCCATGCGATGATCTTCCCAGTTTCTATGTTGAGCTGCCAGGGGACTCTCTCTTAGATGTACTACTTTCTTGCACTTGTGACCCACCTATGCCATCTATGGTGCTATTCCCCCCAAAAAGATGTTCCATCCGAACTTCCTTGTCATAGCTCCAGGAGAGCAAGACGTACTCATCACCCAGGATGTGGGCAGCTGCGCCCAGACTGCAGCCGCGCGCGATGACGTCGTCCGCACGGCTCTCCGTGAAGTCCCACTGGCCCAGGTGGACGTAGGGAAAGCTCACCTGCCGGCGGCCCCCCAAATGGGAACGGATCAGGTTAAACGTTCAAACAAGAAAAAGTACAAACTTGTTTAACTCTCTGCTCATACGGTATACCATGGGCTAATGGCTAGATTGCAAAGGTTTCCCAGTGTTATGGCTCACCTTTTTCATCTGGTCAGCGACTCTTGTAGAACATGCTGCCTGGTCTAGCAGGTGTATACTGTATACTCATTTCCTTGTCCCAAGAAGGGAAAACTTCGCTAGCAAACCCAAGAAGCTGTTGAGTCTGGAAGGGTAAATTAGAGCCGTACAACTTCGCTTTTCACTTTTCGTGCTAAAGCTGCCTGAATCTCTGGTGGCACATAGGAGTGGATCAACTCCAAATCCAAGAAGACTGGTCGAAGGCCGGCGTCGAGCCAGGCCGCCAGGAAGTCGCAATCGCCATTGTCCACGTCGATCTTGAGGAAGAAAGGGAAGAAAGACCTGGGTGGGGTCAGCTGATGGAATCGGAACCGCGTGAGAACAGCGCGGCGTTCCGGACCTCCGGACCTCCGGGGATGGATGATTCCATCATGCAGTCGCCCATGTTGCTGGGAGAACATCCGGGAATCCAGGATGTGTTCGGTCCAAAGGCTTCTTAAGAAGTCGTGCTAACATACTCCACTGCGAATTCCTAGTGTCTGGTCAAAAAAGGACGATGACCTTGTGAAGGTCGTGTCATCTTACTTACCCGTAGCATAAATAGCTCCTGGTGTATGGAGATGATCCAGCCATGTGTAAATGCAATGACAGGAGCTTCGATTGGTGACCCCAAAAAAAAAGAAACAGGACATACTCTCCCTGGAACTAACATGGAAGTGGACAATCGACTCTGGAAAGACCGTGTTCCTTTGCAGAGGGGGCCTTTTCCACGCCCACGATAGTTCTAGGGAGAGCAAATAAGCGTGTGAGCAAAAGAGCCGAGTGCTTGCGAAGATGAGTGGTCGACCCCAGAACCCCTTGCGATGGTTGCAAGTGGATGGTCGACACGTGCTTCTGGAGGAGTCTTAGTTTTGATTGCATAGTTATGGCATAGTCTGGGAGAATGAAGAACGCACTCCCAGCAGTACTTGTACAGTTGTACACTGGATTACGCCGGTCTCCTCAGCAAACACAAGTCTGAACAAGCATGTTGCTTGATAGCCTTTTCACTGGGGTATACTGGCAAAAGGCTGTGGAACCAACTCTGCTTTTAGCAAGAAAGAATAGCTCAAAGTGGGGGTGACCTTGCAAACAGCCGCGGTTTTTGCATGCGTTGTAATGTTACATTTGTTGCGTTTTTGTTCTTTGGTCTCAATAAACCGAGGAGGCCATTGTAGATATTGTAGCACCCGCCAAAACCAGGAAAGAAGGGGTCACCACGGTCGTGCGGCCGCAAGCTCACAACGCACGGTCGCCATGCGGTGCGCCTGGGCGGCGGCAGGCGCCGCTCGCGGTTCCAGACCGCACTCACGACGGCAGTGACCCAGCTCGAGGGCGAGAGGCATTGGTTCAGAACCTGCCAGGGCCGCCGGGGGAAACTGAGAAGATGTGTATCGTTTTTTTCTGGTGATTGCATGGACTAAAGTCTAAAGGCTCTTTTTTGACACGTGCGGTGTGGTATACATTGGTCCAATTGGCCCCAATTGGGGGCCCACTTGTTTTGGTGTCATGTTGGGAAGAAAAGCTCGGTAGATTTGGGGCACGCCACACCAGAAAGCACTTCTGTAAAGGGAAAAGGAAAGCCTTCAAGTTTTGGGGTCGGAGAACTCGTCCTCCTTTCGAACAAACCGAAGGCTGCCACAAAACGGCAGACCAAGGAGAAACCTCTGGTGTACATCTGTGGGCTTGTTCCCAAAGGGAGAAGCTAGTAAATCTCGATGCTCAACTCTCCCCGCTGATCTCTCTCTCTCTCTCTCAACTGGGGGAATGCCAACAGGAAGACGTTCCGCGCGGACCAATGCTTGGTCTGCCCGGAATGACTAGTACAAACCATCCCACATTCCATGTCCATTTCGATGAGCTGTTCTAAGTATCACTGGCGCCTTGCAACCAGCATGCACAAACCAACCCACATCGATAAAACTCTAGCAGATCTGGTATCCTTCAGCTTGGCTCCCCCATGAAAACGTCCGTGGCCGACCCTGCCCGGGGTTCAACTGCACGACACCGCCGACACCGAGGAAAACTCGGTCGGTTCAAAGCGACACCTGCACATTCGGACGGTCTGCATGCAGTTCCCGCAGCTCATTGGCCAGGTCCTGGCAGAGTCGACCAAGGACTCGCGGCTTGAAGACTTCGCACCAACCATCGCACGCCTGAAACCACACGTTCCTGTGGGACATCCAATCTCCCAAAATGGCCCACCAATGACTTGATGCTTGGGCTGTCTATGCCGGTGTCCCTTCTATCCAGCAAACAGCTTGGGAGGGCTAAATTATAAGGACCCAAAGATGGCATCCGGGCGCAAGATGAGGTCAAACCCTAGAGCCCTGGTCCACAATGTGGCTTGGCCCCAGGTAGGTAAACCACTCGGTATCCCAGTGCCATGGCCCACAGCCATGTCATCGAAAGTGCTTTATCCTTGCTTCGTGTCTGCGCTTCGGCTGAGGCTTTTGGACCCAATTCTTGGAGACAAGAACTCATCGGCAGGTTACCCATGAAAGGGGCCTCCATTCTACCTGAGAACCTACGCAAACGGTCATTCCCTGGTATCCTCCCTTTTTTCACTTGCTGGAGGTCACAACAGACATTCACCCCGGAATCCCCTAAGCCCTACACAAGCTTGGCGACACGCGAATCCTTCAGCTTCAGCTCATCTCAGCTTTTTGCAGCCTATCATGCCGACCTTCCCAACCATCCTCCGGGCCTCCTGACACTCCAGCAGCACGGCTGCATACTTCTCTTGCTCCACCAGGCAACTGGCAGAGTCCAGGCATCCGTCCATCACAGACGCGCCCAGATTCACCACGTACCAAGGCAATGCGGGTCCCTCATCGTTCGGCCCCCGCACGCTGCGTGCCACCTGGAAGGGGGGAAGCAGTCCTTCGGACGGGTAAGGACCAAAGGACCGGTGGAGGCTGGTGGTGATTGATCCCAACCCCCTCTGATCCCTCTGAAACCCCCTAGTGCAATCCGCAATCCCAAACAAACAAGATGTGAATCTGTCCTACCAAGATGGTGGATTGTTTGGCTGGTGATTGCCCAAAGTCATTGTGCCGGTTTGAAGCTTTCTGACCTGGAGGCCATCGCTATTAGGTTGGAGCCCATTGCTATTAGATTGGAGGCCATTGCTTGCAGGTTATGAAAATGACTTTGGGCAATCCCATCCTACCCCAGATCGCGGACCGCGGCCGCGAGATTTTCAGGCCCGCTCCAATGCCAAGCCAACTTTTGACCCCCCCCGTGAAAACCCAACCAGTGTCGTTGCACTGGGGAGCACCTGCACTAGACCCCGGAAACGACTCAAGAGGCTTCTGGAAGTTGTGGATGCTTTTGGGCGACCCAAAATGGACCAGTCTGACGCTGCCACCAACAGAAAGCGAAAGTCCGCCGAAAGTCCGCTACAAGTCCCTGCACGTCCAAAAATGCTGAACAAAAGGGTTTCGTACACACCCGCACCGTGTGAACGCCATGCTTTTGTAGGTGTGAAACACTCGCCTTTTAGATATATATTGTAGTAGGCATGTCGGTCTCGTCCGAGATCCATCTCTTTACGTGATTCAAATGCTGTTCCTAGTTCAACAGCCGAGTGAAATCTGAACGTACCGCACCTAGCTTACCAAATGACATTGAGACTGCCACCTGTATGTGACCAGAGTGCGAATGAAGCAGGTGTTTTGTCTAGATGTATTAAATGTATTATTCCGTGATATTCCATGCATTAATTCAAATATGGTTGAAATGGCTGCGGAAACTGTTTCTGAAGATACTCCAATAATTATATGCCCTGGCCACTAACCAGCCATTCAGAAATCAACCATAATTGTGTCACGCTATTCCTCAAATTCACAAAAGGAACGATGAATACCTAGCCAGCTTGACCAATGAACATAAAAGAAACTCTCTGCTACCAGACCATACTCCCAACATCTCCCAACGGACTGAACAGGATCAAAGCAACGGACTTCTGCAACACTCCACCAGCACCACACACCTTTCCCCCTTTCCCCGCGCTTGCGCGCCGTGTGCACCTGCAACACACGATGGCGCGTGAAGAGCGGCCTCTCCTGTGCCTGCAGGATCTGCAAGCTCCCGTTGAAGCCCAAGATCCTCTGAGGGCGGCGACGGGATCTGCGTGGGTCCGAAGTGTCCGGAAGGGGGGTAGGCAGCTAGAGGTAGCTAGAGGTAGCTAGTACTAGTAAGGGAGAAGCTAGTAGCTAGTACTAGCCACTGACAGGACGCAGGAGAGCTCACGCACAAATGAGTTGGTTCCTAGATCTTTCGGGTCACTAGGTCGATGTATTCGAAAAGACCACATTGGGATGTTTGGACAACTTCAGGCGTTTCGGCCTGGTCTCTTGAGTGCACCTAGTGTACACGTCTCGTTTCAAAACTCTTTTGGGTAGTCGGCAATCCACAGTTCCAAGCCACTTGTACCGAAAAAAACACTGCCTCCTCATACTTCAATCTCCCAACACCTCGCCCCACTCCGTCCAGCCCCTTCCGCTCCCACCTGCCACCTTCCGCTCCCACCTCTGTGCCACGTGTTCCCGTTTCCACCGTGGTCCTGCTGGGCGAGCGCGGCACGCAGGAGGCGTTGGCCGTCGGAAACTTCGAGGCCGACAGCTGCGCCGCGCTCCTCCGGACGGAGGAGCCCGGGGGGGGCGGCCCGGGGGGGGCGGCCCGGGAGGGTGTTGTGTGCGGTGAACAACCGTGTGGACTCAAACACCATTGAGGGGCCCAGCTAGGCAGAGCAGTCTCTTCTTCCATTGCACCTTCTTATCACCCAGATAAATCGAGAAGTGTCACAGTGGCTGAGAGACCCACAAGTCCTGGATGTTGAACTCTCTTTCGGGTGATTCTGACGTCACCAATAATCAGTTCTCATCAACAGTAGCACTGAAACCACTTGTTGTTTCATGACCAAGAACTCTCCTCTTCACGTGCTCGAGCACCTGCAGCTCCAACTGCTTGAAGATCAAACCCAGGCTCTTCCCAGCATCTGCGGCCAACGTCTCACAGATGTTGATCTCTTCTCGACAGAGGCCCAGCTGGAAGCAGCTGTCCGTGACGCTCCAGCACTGTTGACTCATGGCTTCATGGTACTCCTGTGGTTCGTAACAGTTCGTGTAGTTGATGAAGCCTTGGTGTCTTCGAAACGTGGGCAGATGCTGCCTGCTTCTCTGGTTTCGAGTGGGCTGACCGCTCGGATCACCAGACCCAGCAGACCGTCATGCTGATCCGGAACGGCTCAAGCTTTTTGTGGTCTGACCCTCCACACCCAAGGTCAAAAGAGCTAATTCCTCTTATACATCAGGTGGGAACAAAACAATCAATGGCTCAATCACCTAAATCATAGCAACTTGATGCTCACAGCAGCCAGTGTTGTTTGGCTTCCAGTCCATTAAGGTTCCTTGAAATGCTTTGCCACGACAGGAAGCCTAGTCAAGTCGAACGCTTACCAGCAATGTCAGAGCTGATCGAGAAAATCACGCTTTTTCACAGTAAACCTCTCCACAGAAGTTCCTTCTTCAGGTCAACAAACATTGTTGGCCTAAACTAGTGGATCGCCTGGATTAGGTGGATCGCCTGGATTTTCGCGCAGCTTACAGTAATTCAACCAATGAGACACAACTGCTGCAGACACGGCCAAGCCGCACAAGAGCTGCTGCACTTTCCTCAAGAACTGCGACACGGCCAGCAGTTGCTCCAGCTCCTCTTCCGGTCGTTCGGCCAACTCCAGCAGATCGCCTCGGTGTCTTTTTTTTCGCTCGCTGAAGAGTTCGCCCGATGGAAAACCCGACCGAAGGCTTTCCTTCAGCAGAAGGATCGAGACTTTGAGGATGTGAAATGCAACTACGTGGCTCAACATGAACATACATCTACTTCGTCACCGCGCTCCAACCCGTGCGTCACGCTTCGCTCGCTTGGGCGGCGGCTTCCGCGCGCCGGCCCAGGGCCGCGCCGAGGCACTCACGTGCGCCCAGACCTTGGCCACCTCGTCATACAAGGACCGCACTGCGGTGCCCTGCGACTCCTGGCGCTGGTCGGGCAACACAACGCGAATGGCGACCCCCCCAGGTGGTTCCAGGTTCCCATCGACCTCAGGCCTTCGCATGCCTTCGCCAATCATCACAAGGGTCCAAAATTGCCAGAAAAGCCAGTTTGGCGGACTCTACACCAAACCCTCTCCCATCCCGGACTTGGTGCTGGTCATTTACCTTGTTTGTTCATTCACCGCGTACGCGGTAAACGCACCCGCTCCCGGCCAGACTGCCGCCCACATTCACTGGGTCGCTCATCCGGCAGAGGAGGACACCAGACACGGGTCGCTCCGAGCGCTGAGGAGGACACCCCACGGGTGGCGCACAGGACTGCGAGGGGCCAGCGCATTGGAAACTCATCAATGAGTTGGTGAGAAGCTTGTTGAAGCTGTTCTTTTGGTGGTGCTTGTCCCTGCGAGGAGTTGGTTGATTGAGAGGTTGAAACAAAGGCAAGGTCAAAAAAGAGTGTCGCAAACTCAGTTACCACAGACTCTTTTGCTATGTATACGTGTTGAAAGGGAATGGATGATCTCAAGAGAACTTGCCCCCCAAGAAAGGGCTCTTTTGGCTGTATGTGTGTGCATATGTATGCATGTAAGAAAAAAAAAGGAAGAAAGAGAGAAAGAATCAGCAAAAAACATGAAACATACAAAGGCATCGACGTGGAAGTCGCCTAAGAACTACAACTAGAATCAGTTTCACATTGTCAAGCTACTTCATAATCTGTTGCGTTTCGAGCCAACTGCGGCACAGGGCGATTGCTGAGAAGGTCAAGGTACGCCCTTTGTGGTGGAAAGGGTACCGCCCCAGGGTGCGCTCACGCAGTGAGAGCCCAAAGGTACCAAGCGTTATGAACTGTGCGGCATCACCAATTGGCCATCCCACCCTCACTGCACTACATTGCCAGCAGAGCATTCCTCGACTGCACGGTATTTAGAAGGCTCAGGAAACTACCAGGCCAAAAAGCCACATGGCGGGGAGTGTATGCTGAAGAAAATGCCTTCGCACTTTGTCCAGCTATGAGGTGGCCACAGTGGCTGCACATGATTCCAGACATGGGCTATGTGTCGGGGTTAGCTCAGGCTCACCGACCCATGTTTTTTTTGCACGGGTCGAGGCGCTATGTGTGCAGAGGATGCACAAGTCACCTTAGGCCTTAGGCTAGTGAAGAGAGAGTTACGAACCAAGCAACAAAACAAAACCGAACCAAACAACACACCAACCAAACACCCCAAAACCAAAAACCAACCGAAACGAAAGCCAGGTTCATACCTCGAGTCGGCTGTGTCAGCCAGTAGAGAAAGATGAAACAAGGTGAGACAAGGGGCAATGAATTCAGCCTTTGCACTCAGTACGTCATCATCAAGTCCTTATCTATTCTCCACACGAAATGGCAGTTCAACCTATTCTCAGCGGTCAAGCTCCTTTGAATCCTTCGTGCGATGACTTCTGCAACCGAAAAGCCATACTTCAAATGGGGCTTTAATGGTCTGGCGCGTATTTGCAAGGCATGGAGTTGCAAATGTGCATGTTCGGCAGCTCAAGCGGAGGCAATCGACACACCCAAAACCAACATCACTCAAGTTTCCGCAAGCAAAATTGTCGGAACAGGATGCAAGACACGTAAGGCTCAGGGAAAACGACTGTGTCAGCAGTCGAGGACTTCAAATCATCGAAAGCAGGCGACAGTGGAGCCGCAACATGCAGTGTAGTTGCGGGGTGTTGACATGCACAGTTCCATCAGGGCCAAATCCCCCCCAGAGGGGGGAGACGACAACTCTGCTCTTCGAAATGCGGCGGTGACTCCACGGGAGTCACAGAAAGGCAACAGTTCCAAAAAGCTCACCGGGAGCCAGCCTGAGCAACAGACTGGCTCAATGGCAACAGGATGTTGAGTATCGATTGGCGCCTTGCCGCTGTGCCGTTAATTTGTGCGTTCTTGAAACATTTTTTTTCCACGAGTGCGGACGCCATGTGGGCGGTGTGCCCAGGTCATCGTAGAAGGATAGGAAACACTGCATATTGATGGGGGAAGCAAACCAAAACCACCAACACCAAAACAACAAACAAAACCCCAAACCAAACGCCAAACAGAAATCAAACCACCACCACAGACCCCCAACCAAAGTGGGCAGTGTTTCCTCTGTACTGAAGTGAGACAGGTGAAAAGACGAGCTGCGAAATATCTAAGGGCCTGAATTCTCTAGGAAAGGCAAAGTGCTTCTGTTCGTGGGTGGTTGCTCTGATCGGCCAATCAAAGGTGGCCTCACTCCGTTGGCAAGGATGAGGTCATCCAAGCCTTTTGATGGTTGGCACTCGAAGCAGTTGGACATCATGCGAGGTACCGAGAGCAACGTCAGCAGTTGACAGATGACAAGTGCCAAAGAGTCATCAGTTGCAAAGCAAGGCAAGCCGTGGAAAATTCCCTCTCCGTGGCACAATCCATACTACTGATTGCACATACGAAGCGCAGAGGCTTATCTAGAGTGTGGCAGTGGAAGGCATCGCAACGAAAGGACTGCTAACGACGTTTTGATTTCCCTCCCACAAGGGAGGCACAACATACACCCAATGGCTCCCACGCGATAGCCAAAGGGGTAACAGAAGGTGTTCACTCTTCCATTAGATGGTGAGCATTGAGGTCACCATCCTTCAACATGCATGGCCCATATATAAACAGGTGAAACAGAGACCTATCCTAGCATGGTACTTATGCCATCTTTGTACAAGATTGGCTGTGGTTCGGCTCCCGCAGACGAGCAACTAAGGTTCTCCCTGGGCGCCATCCATCAACCCGCCTACCATGGACGAAGAGCTAAGGCTCCCATCCCAGTAGGCTCACAAAATTGCAGGCGATAGGCGAGAACGACGACTCTATCTGCCTGACTTACACTCGAACAGTAGGAGAAGCGTGCCTTACGCTAAGCCGGGCACGTAGCCAGTGTCAGGAATCATATGCAACCACGGTGGCCATCGCATGGCTGGGCAAAAAGCAAAAGCATTTTCTTCTGCATATATTCCCCTCCATGTATGCTGGCCTGGGAGCTTGACAAGCCTACGGAGCGCAGTGCAGTCCAGAAAGGCTCTACTGGCAATGTAGCGCAGTGAGGGCGGTATGGCTAGTTCTGGCAGTGCAGCACAGTTCATGAAGGCTTTTACTCTTATGGCATGGAGCGTGTAAGGCAATCTGACTTCACACAGGCTAGTGCAGTGCACAAATGTAAATTCCTTGATTTCTTCGATCTTTGTATTCGAAAGGTCGACTTTCTTCAACAATTGACAGTTGTCACAGGCATGCGCTCCCAACACTTGGAAGTCCCGCGTAAGCTCAAGTGTACCTATCCCAGTGGAGCTGAGACATCCTTGTGACAGCTCCCTGGCATTCATTCAAGCTGGCAACTCTTGTTGGTGAGCAGCCTCCTGCAGGACAAAAGTGGCTAGGTTGATGCAATCTCGAAAGAGATAGTGCCCAAATTTGGTGGAACTACCAAATTGATTCGCTACGCCCTCAATAGCATAGACCCACTGCAGGGAGCTGCATTCAGCAAAGTCTTTAACAGTCTTTATAGCCAAATTCCACGCAGCCAGGCGCTGTGACACTGTTGAGCAGCTGGCACCCTCGGAATGTGTTGTCTGCTATTCTTACCACCGAAGCTGGCATCCTAACTATACGTAGCTGTCGACAACACTGCCATGCCTCTGCACCCGCAACCCTGATTCCTGCCTCTATGCTGACGTGACGCAGACGCGGCACCGCTGTGAAAGCGCCATCAGGAACCATCTCCTCTAGATTCATGGGGACGTGGACTGCGAGGGGAATGTCTCGGAATGGACACCCTTCGAAGATCTCCTTTGAGGGAAGGACTTCGCAGCAGCTACGAAACACCATGGTGTATTCTGTGCCTTGTTGCAATTTTTCCCAGATTGGATTTTCTAAATAGGTTTATTCAGATTCAAATTCCAAACATTTGGATCCAGTTCCCCTCGCGCCTTGCACATATGATCTTGGCATGATCTTGGTGGTAGGGTTTTAAATAGATCCTGGTATGGTTTAAATAGATCCTGGTATTGTTTAAATAGATCCTGGTATGGTTTAAATAGATCCTATATGCGACAGAGAAAGAAGCCCACGCACCCCCCAAGGCATTCGTGCTTTCCTTGGATGTGAACAGCTGGCGCGATTCACGCCCCTCGACTGGGGAGAGGTTGAAAGAACCATCCAAGCAGAACACAACGCCTTTCTGATGTGTGATAACTTTGAAAGAGCATCTTGGGTAGAACTGCTCTCACCGAGGGAGCCAGACTCTGATGCCTTTGATGAAGAGCTCCATACAGAATTCCCCTGACGAGTTACCCTGGTCCGCCAGTAAGGCAGTTATCTAGGGTGGGTGCCTCAGCACTTGTCCTGAGCAAGGTACCCCCGCGTTTGACCTAGCCTCTGCTTTCCTTGGTGCCGCACACCCCGTCACATGCTTGTTTCGCCCGTCAAAATTTGGTAATCAGCTAGTAGGCGGGGGGGTGCCTTAGCACTTGCCTCGGGTCAGGGAATTCCCCACTCAGTGAGAATCTAATTCTGAGGTATAGAGCAACTAGGCTGAAGAAGCCATGTTCCCATGCCCCGAGTAGTGAAAGGCAGACAATATGCACTAGCTACGAAGGTCAAACTAAGGTTTTTCTGGCTCAATCAGCGACCCTCTCCAGTCATGCACGGTCGTGAATATCTCCATGAGCGTCGCCAAGTTTGATAGATTTGAAGACCTCGAAGACCATGTGGTCGACTACCTTGCCTCAGTGACCGACCTGAAGGTCTTTGGATGTACAATCGATTTCTTGCAAGATGACACACAAACCTACTTAGAAAATCCAACCTGGGAAAAACTGCAACAGAGCACAGAATACACCATGGTGTTTCGTAGCTGCTGCGAAGTCCTTCCCACAAAGGAGATCTTTTGAAGGGTGTCCATTCCGAGACATTCCACTCGCTGTCCATGTCCCCATGAATCAGGAGGAAATGGTTCCTGAAGGTGCCTTTGCAGCTGTGCCACGATTGCGCCACGTCAGCATAGAACCAGGCATAAGGGTTGTGGGCGCAGAGGCATGGCAGCGTTGTCGACAGCTTCGGATGGTCAAGATGCCGGTTACGGTGGTAAGAACAGCAGACAATGCGTTCCGCGGGTGCCAGCTGCTCAACAGTGTCACAGCGCCTGGCTGTATGGAGTTTGGCTACAAAGCCTTTGCAGAATGCAGCTCCCTGCAGTGGGTCTGCGCTATTGAAGGAGTGGCGAACCCGCGCGCTGGTCGGAAGCATCACACTCCACTGATGGACACCTGACACGCCAGATCTGTCCGAGGCTGGTCGCAATGCCCAGGCCTCGTGATGGCATAGTGG